CGTGCAAACCGATCGAGGATGGATCACCCATTCAAGGTCGGTGATGATGTGCTTATCGACGCCCGCTACTTACAGCTCGAAGCGGACACGCTTCGCAAGTTTCGGCGTCGCTTCTTTGGCCCATGCCACATCCTCCAGGCCGTCGGTTCTGATACGGCATCTAGCCCGGTCAGCTTTCGTGTGAAGCTGCCCGACTTGCTACGCCTGGCTCGTGTGCATAATGTCTACCACGTCTCGTTACTGCGTCCTTACCGCAGACCGTCTAAACGTTTCGTTGGACGACCATACGAGCGCCCTCCACCTATCATGGTGGACGGCTACGAGGAGTTCCTCGTTTCAGACATCATTGGTCGCCGAGTCACCGACGACAACCCTCCCCACGTAGAGTATCTCGTACGTTGGAAGGGTTACCTTGATGAGAAGGCTACCTGGGAGCCCCTCGAGCACTTGCAGCACGCTTGCATGTTGGTGCGTGCTTATGACCGTGCTTGTCGTGCTGGGTTCACTGCTCCTCCTCAACCCACTGACCCTCCTCCTTCTCCCCCGGCTGAGGAGACCACTAAAGTCAAGCCTGCTCCATCTGAGGCAGACCTTCAGCAGCAGCCGGATGCTTCTGAGCGTCCACAGCGCACTCGTCGTCGTCCTGCTCGATACGATGATTGACTCTGACTTACCTTCCCACGTCCTTGACTTCTCAGTACTCCATCCACTCGAGTTTTGCTACTTCGGCACGTCAACGTTGCGGCTCTTCCTCGGTGACATTCCGGACTTCTCATCGTGGACGTCATCGGCAACTTCATGGACTTCGTCACGACCGGCTCTTCCTACTTCAGACGTCGCCACTCTCTTACCACTTTACCCTGTACAGTACCCTGCTTGTGTCGCATGATGGTCTCCCTTTAGCCGGGTTCCTCTGAGTTGGGCTCTCCCTTGGTATACGCATAGGCATCAGGACTGTAGCGTTGCCCTGGCTTCCCATCTTACGGATCTAGCTTCGACTTCCCTCACTTTAGGAGTCATTTGCATGATTCCCTTACCCATCATCTTTCTACCCTTCGCCGACCCTCACGCCCTAGTTAGGCAGCCCTGCATGCTTCATCTAGGTGCGCCCAGTATACCAGGCTCCCTTGTTCCCTTGCATGGTCGACCCTCCATAGCGGTCACCCCTTAGTCGAGTATTACCCGCCCTGATGGTCTATCTGTTAGGGTCATTGGTTCTGTTCGCTCCCAGTTCCCTACCCTCATTGAGCCTGATGACATGTGTTTTYCCCTGTCACTATGTGTGGATGCCCTTAGGAGTTTTCGACCCCTAGGCTGCATTCRCCACCCTCAGAGACCATCCCACCCTTTGGTTTGTGACACACTTCTCATGTGACATATGGTTGTCTTGTTGATTGCTTTGTTGCTCTCAGACTGAGGCTACTGCCTCCGACATTTCTAGGATTTAGCTGTTCTCCTTTTGCTGTTCTTAGGACTTATACACTAGTCAGTTGTTACCAGACTGAGGCTAGTGCCTCCAACATTCTAGGATCTAGTTGTCACTACTTTCTGCTTTCCTAGGACATGTATGCTAGTTAGTTGCTTTTGCTTTCCTAGGACATGTATCTTAGTTAGTTGCTTTTGCTTTCCTAGGACATGTATGTTAGTTAGTTGCTTCTGCTTTCACTTAGGTTGTTAGCTGTGACATTGCTGTTTTGTGACATTTTATATCCTAGGTTGCATCGCATGGACTCAGCATGAAGCTTGCTCCGCATCCTAGACTACTCAGGTTTTCTTTTCTTTGGTAGAGTTTCGCTTCTTGGCGGAAGCATGTTTGTATCTAGGCGATCCATCACAGGCCGAGGATCGTGTAGCGGACCTCGGGTTGGCCTGTGAGACCAGCCCCTTGGCCTGTTCTCACAGGCCTATGTTGTATTCGGGGTAGGCCAGTCCAGGCCGGTACCTTTGTCAGTACCAGCCAGTCCAGTCCAGTCTCGTCAGTCCGCTGGGGTATACCCCAGCCATTGTTTGTTTTCAGTGGCATTCTTGACTTGCACATTTTGGAGTACGTGTGTTGGAGTCTTGCGTGGGGAGCTGTGTTGTGCCATCTCGCTCCCCCCTTCTTCCTCCATCTCCATCTCTACCACTAGCGGAGCACCACACCTGGTGGGTCCGCTACAGAGAGAGAGAGAGAGAGAGAGAGAGAGAGAGAGAGAGAGAGAGAGAGAGAGAGAGAGAGAGAGAGTCGCCCCCTTACATTCCAACTTAGAGCAACCATGATCCAGCGCCATAAACAAGATGGCGGAACCCTTAAATTTATTTTTATTTACCAATTAGGGCCTTGTTAGACCCTCCTTGAAAAATGCTCAGAAATTAGGATGAGGTGCTTGGAAAATTATCCGGTTTTCAGCGTCGTCGTTACACCGCGTCCTAATTGAACGGGTCTCAAGGAAACCCTTGGAGGTCTCCCACGACCAATTTCATACGCACATACGCCGCCGCGGGGCTGGATGTCCGTCGGTGTGGTGGGATGTCCATGCGTCCTCGGGTGTGGTCCAGTGGCGGCGGCAGGGAGGCCTTCTGGGCTGAGGGAAAAAAAAGGCGCGAGCATCCCTGTTCGAATTTCGAATCTTGAACCCTTCGCTGAAACGCATCCACACATGGGGTGTCCAGACCGGTGCAGCGCACACCGGAGCGAAACGTCTGTGGAGGAGTGTTGGCGGCCATCGCTTAATACGCCGGCATTGGAAGGCAGGCCGACACAGCGCGGACGGTGACGGTCTCAGAGTGCGACAACGCTCAGGAGTTACACATTCGTATTCGGCCCGTCCGCGACAATCATGCGGGCCGCCATAGCTGAGCGCGCAGTTCAGGCCTCCATGAGACGTGGGTAGTGCTGCTGCCATTCCCGTCCACATGGAGGCATCGGAGCGAGGGTGCCTGTGACCGAAACAGTGGTGGGCAGTTCCGCATTGCGCGTCATTAACTTAAAGATGGAGAGAGAGTTGCGGGCCGGTGCGAATACATTGACAGCTTTCGAGAGAAATGCGGTGGTTGCAGCTGTGTCGGCAGTCGCCATGAGATATTGCATATAGAGAACGACAGCTCGCCTGAAGATGAGGTTGCCC